AATTTTTCTTTCTGTTAGGACAGAGTTAGCTTTGCTGACCTCAGTTTCAAAATCTATTAAAAAGTCTGACTGCTTGTAGCATATAAAAAGAGAGATGTAGTAGTTCAATGAAGGAAGGCTTTAATGTTATTTTTTAAACATCAAATGAAACTTTCTATTACCAGACCATTCTTTCTCTCCCCCCCTCTCTTTTAAATTCATTTAACTGTATTACTGGTAGTTGGGTTTGTTTGGATTCAATAGCATTTGCTGCTGTTTGTAAGCTGTCTTGAAAGAAGCTATTTTGAAGAGAGGGAAATAAATTGTGTAATTAATAAAATGACTTGTTTGCTTTAACCAAATAATTTACTGCTCAATAAATTCACTAAAGCTTTAATTGTTTTTCCTCCTGTGAAACACTGTGTTTTTTTTTTCAGCTGCATATCTGAAAATATTTAATGCTGAAGCATTTAGCCAAAGCTGTCTGCTTCCAAGGGGGCCACTGTTTAAAAGGGGCAATGTGGACCATCCTTGGTTTTTGAAAAGTAACCTCTTTTCTAATAAGGGATAAAATAAGTTTTCAAATGCAGTGTTTTTTTCTGTGTTGTGGATTTAGGGAAAGCATGTGAGAAAAATGTGCATTGATAAAGTAAAGTCATATACCATGATGCAAATAGTTTCTTCAGAATTGTAGACTTCTGTAGCCTCAAAATGAAAAATGACTTATTTATGACTACTTATTAATGTTACATCATGATTTCTGTGTAGATGAATGAAGCAAAAAATAGATCAATGTTAGTCTTTAATTTTAACATATTTGCGTTAAATACTTTGTAGTGCTTATTAGCAATTGGAGACTTTGATGTGTTTCTGTTCAAAAAGTTAAAAGCAGATGGAAACTTAAACAGTGGCTAAGAGTAGGAGCTAGGAGCCAGGGTTTGAGGCCTCTTTGATTTCTGAATAGGAACAGATTGGTTATATGAATATTTCTTTTTTCCCTCCTCAGATTTTATCTTCAGATAGTTAAGGGAAATTGTGAAAAAGTAATAGCTCGAAGTTGTCCACTGAATGAGGATTTGTGCCTGGCTCTCTGTTCATACTATTGAAACCAATGTAGCTTATTGTCCATTTATTGGTATGTTCATACTGCTGAAACCAGTGTAGCTTATTGTCCATTTATTGGTCGATGAGGAAAACAAAACAGTTTTGTGAAAGAGAAAAGAATAAAAAGGATTTGGACTCTGGAAAATGGGCAAGTTTTAAATTGTAATTGTACCTTTATCTACTTTTAACAACTACATGCACTAAGTAGAAAGCTTAATTTCTTCATAGTGCTTCTCCAACTTCTGTAAATTTGTTGACTACACTTTCCCAAAGAATCTTTTTCATGAGGCAACTGGACTTCCTTGTTTTTCTTTGAAGACGTTTGGCTTCTCATCCAAGAAGTTTCTTCAGCTCTGACTGGATGATGGGGAATGGAAGGATTTATATTCCTTGCAGATAGCTGGTCATTTGCATTCTTTTAGAGCAGGCATGTCAAAACTGCCGGCCCGCGGGCTGAATGTGTCATGCCGAAACCGCGTCCACCCCATTGCTGGCAATGGGGAAAAACTCATGATACATCGTGTGATGTCACATGACATCGTGAGTTTGACATGCCTGTTTTAGAGGGTCCTTGGGGGCCACCTGGAGGTTTATCTGAGGTTTATCTGTGTGGTCAGAGTCACTTTAGTAGTGCAAATGGATTGGAACTGTTGAAAGGACTGTGTTGTAGATTGGAGATAGTGGAGATAGATGATGTCGTATGCCTCCCCCTCTGTTGAGAGAGGGCTGTTCAATTTTGACCTAGATGGCCTCTTTGATCCCTCTTTCAAATCAGCGGTCCTCTCTGTCCAGAATGTGGACTTTTCTATCTTCGAAAGAGTGGCCTTTGTCTTTTAAATACAGATGGACTGCTGAATCTTGTCCTGATGGGTTTGTTCTCCTAAGTTGTGAAATGCGTTTATGAAGTGGTTGTTTTGTTTTCCCCATGTACAGATCTGCACTTTCCATGTTGTCCAGTCAGCACGCCATATTTAGTTGTGGGATGATGGCAATTGACAATAAAAGATCCACAACTAATCAAATAAAATATTTTTAATTGCATGTATTTTGTTTTGTCTTTCAAACAAATAGAAAATTCATTGAAATGATGCTTTCCCAGAGAGGGTGGGGGGAGAGAGAGGGAGAGGAAGAGAAGTGATTATGGGAAAACTGAAAAAAATGGTGCATTGCATTTGATAAATAAATATAAGGTGATGGAATAGAACATTACATTTTATGGTTGTGCTGAAAACTAGAGATACATTTTCTAGGGAACCAAATATTAAACAGTAATGCAACCAAAAAAGATCATTAAACATTTCTTAAATTACTTAATCCCAGTAGATGCTCTGAATTTATTTTAAAGGTATGTGATTGGATAGCTGTTTTTTTTAATGTGCTTGTTTAGGTTACAAGGTCACTAAGAATATAATTGCAGCAAGTATTTATGAGCTTTACTGATGTGGAAACAAAAAAAAATTGAATTTTTGTTAAAATATTTTACTTGCTTTGGATTAATCATCAGAGCTTTGAGTTATTTTTATGCTGGATTGAAGAAAATTAGTAGATAAGAATAAAAATTGGGAATATAAGGTTTCTCCTGATCTTAAATATAGTGTAATATTTATGGCAGTGTCCTAATGGGAACAGGTAACACATACTATGATAGTGGCTTCCATTATTTATCATGAGATGCTGAGGAATCTCTCTTATAAGCAGACAAAGTTGCAAACCACAATTCATGCTCCTTCAGACAGTACAAGAAAGAAACCATAGAAGAACTTTTGGAGAATGTTTAGCTGCTCCTCCAGCTAGAAGTTAAATAGAAGTGATTGAAAGTGCACCAGCATGTTTGCTCTTTCAGAGTAAGCCAACATTCTTTTAAATGTTGGCCTACTGTGAATCATGAGCCAGACCTATAGGTAATCTCTCCCCCTTCCCCCCGCCAAATTTAAATATACACAATAAGATACATTTGAGTATATATTTATCATGCTTTTATGGGCATGAATATCCTAGTTTAAAATTGTGAGAGAACAGAATAAATACCAAATATTTATCCCAATCCAATAAGCAGATTTGTGCCAAAGATTGCATATGAGAACAAAAGTTGTTTTCCTCATCTTGAATGTGGTTGAGCTGGTTGGCTGCTTTGTTTGATCCTAAGGAGTTACATTTGATTCTTTTGTTCACAACTATAGTTGGCTTGGGCCTACTGTTTCTACATGCTCTCTTAGAAAGAAAAATAGGAACAAAGAATGCAATTTTGTCTTGTCTCTAGTAAAGAGCAGCAAGTGTAATGCCCTTATATAAATCTGTGATACAACTATTTTTAGAATACTGCATACAGACTTGTCTCCCATTTAAATAATAGAACTGAAAAAGATGTTGAGATGGCAGAAGAGGGTTGAACTTCTCACCAAGAAAAGGCTTATTAATTAATGGGACAATTAGAGAAAATGGTAGAGCAGTTGAGTGCTTTGCACATGGTTTGATCACAATTTTCTCAGATCTTGCCACTGCCTGGCTGACTAGGGCTAATGAAAGTTATTGTTCAACATATTGGGAAGGACACTATTTTGCCATTGCCTGTGATTAAACAATTGAAATTTAGACCAATACATCTTCAATCATCTCTGGCATTATACATCTTTCTTAGCATTCTGAGATTGTTATGAAGTCTTAAGGGGCAGTATCTCAACTGCTTGCTCAGTTCTGATTTAAGTTGGGAGAATACTATTCAGTTCATAATTTTTTAATATCTTCAAAATACGTTAATTCATGTAATCAGAAAATATTTTTTAATTTTATTTGGGGAAAGCAATGATTTATATTTAGGATCAAATGAATGCAGGTAGAAATTCCTTTTTGTGAATCCTAAGAATTAAGATTCTCTTGACCTTTAGCAGTGGAATAGGGAAGGCCTCTTTTCTTAAACACAAAAGAAGTTCTTTTTCTAAATAAATGATTGCTCTTTATGATAGAGACTTATTCATGATCATGACAATTGAGGGAATTTAGATGAGTTCAGTTTTGATTCACTGGTGGAAAATACCTTTCTGAACTGATTTTGTATTTAGTTTGGCTTTCTGCCACCCCTGGTAAGAACAGTGCTGGCTTCTGCGTTTTGCCTGTGGAACATAGAATACATGATGCATACTAGCTTTCCTGGGTTCTTCCAGCAAAACCTTTATTGAAAATTCTGGGATTTGAAGCACACTTGAAGAGACTGTGATTGGGGAATGCTTGAGCATTTAATAAAGAAATATATTTCACTTGTTAGCTTGATATTTTTCCAATCATCAGGGAATAATTGAAGATGATATATATAACACTGCCACTAGTTCTTCCTCCCTCGCAGTAACTATCCTGTGATTAAGATAGGGCTTAGAGATAATGATCTCTCGAAGTCATCTGGCACGTTTTCATAGTTGGGCTTAGGCTTGAATCCTGTTTCTCTGTCCTTTGTCCAGAATCTTCACCATTATACCACAGTGGCTCTCATATGCAGCTTTGTTTTCTATTATATTCAGAACCTGTTTTTCATATTGTACATTTTTTCAGTTGTTTCGCATTTCCTAGCAACAAAGTGAAAAGCCACATTCTCTTGTTGGAGAAAGCTTTCTTATGTACATGTCCAATCTTTGTTGTTTATCACTTGTTTCGCGATTTCATCTTCATTCCCGCTTCTTATCCTTTGGTTATTTCACCATTTTGTCATTTCAGAGGATGCTCACATTTATGTTCATGTTCCACTTTATACCTTCTCATTGGATATTATACTGACTAATTTGGCTAGGAAATTATCCATTGTGTCTGATGAATAGGTGTATACAGGCTCTCTGTATCTGATAAAAATGCATATACAAATAACTTGTTATTTCTAGTTTGCCAATTCTACACTTCTAAATTATATCTGCTTTTTTTTTAAGGCTGCCCTTCGGCGAGGCAGAAAAACACAGCAGAGCTGGCCTCTGCAAGGGGAGAGGCTGGACTTCCCAACTCTCTGTGCTGAATGGCTACTATGGCGCCCGCTCTCACTGACGCAGCAACTGAAGCTCACCACATCCGGTTCAAACTGGCTCCCCCATCCTCTTCCCTGTCTCCTGGCAGTGCCGAGAAAAACGGCAACGCCAACAACATCCTTGTTGCCACTAACGTCACCAAAAGGAAAGCTGAGGATTCCAGTTTAGATTTCCGAAATAATTCTACAAAAGAAGAGCTGGGAAAGCTGCAGCCATTGGTAGCATCTTATCTCTGTTCAGATGTAACATCTGTTCCTCCGAAGGAGTCTTTGAAACTGCAAGGGGTCTTCAACAAGCAGAAAGTCCTTAAATCTCATTCTCTGTTGACTCATCCTTTCTTGAAAACTAGTGATCTGTTGGGAAGGCCACCAGTGTTGGAGATTTCCTTGGAAAATCTAAAAACCATGAGTACAAGTAATCAGACACCTTTGCCACAAACACCTGTCAATGGTTTGGCTAAAAAATTAGCTAAAAGTAATAGCTCTGACCATGAAAGTTCTGTTTCACTTAATGGTGGTAAGAGTGCACCTTCTTCTGCGACCCTCCAGGAAGTTGATTCAAATAGATCTGGGAGTTGTGATTTGGAGGACCTGAAGTCTGGTTTGAGCAATTGCACTCTACCACATAAAAGCCCAGATGCAGAGCATGCTGCCCCACTTAGCAATAATGGCATGACAAATAAACATGACCACAGTTCCCCAGAGCAGCAGTGTGGACTCGAAGGGGGTGGGGAGAACAGGTTGCTTTTGTTATCTGGAATGCCTGTTTGTTCTGAGCTTGGAAGCAGCAAGCCAGAGGAACAGAAGATCACTCTGCCGAACAGTTCCTTTAGCACTCTAGATTCAGATATGAGGACAAAGGTGCTATTGCGGAGGCAGGCAGACATTGAGAATCGTGCTCGCAGGCTGCAAAAGCGGCTGCAGGTGGTACAGGCCAAGCAGGTAGAGCGGCACATTCAGCAACAGCTTGGTGGATTTTTACAGAAAACACTAAGCAAGTTACCTGCTTTGGACTCCTTGAGACACCGGAGTCAGCTAATGCTGACCCGCAAGGCAGAAGCAGCTCTAAGAAAAGCTGCAAATGAGACAAGTACCTCGGAAGGACTGAGCAACTTCCTAAAAAGTGACTCTATCTCAGAAGAACTAGAAAGGTTTACTGCCAGTGGAATGGCTAATCTGCGCTCTTGTGAGCAAGCATTTGATTCTGATGCCACAGACAGCAGCTCAGGTGGAGAGTCTGATATTGAAGAAGAGGAACTGTCCAAAGCAGATACAGAACAGCACCATGTACCCCTGTGAGTAACATCAAGTGTTAATTGCTTTACAGTTTTTAATATTTTGTTTTTCAGATAAGTTTTGTCTCATATCAGTATTGTTTAATGTACAGTTAAAATCAGGAGCCAGCAAGCTACAGTAACACAAATTAGTTTTAGAAGAGGAGAGTCGGTTTGCTTTTAAGATGTGTTCAATGTAATTTATATAAAATAGGTTTTCTGCAATTGACAGGCTATTGATTGGTGAATGGTAGTATCACACATAAATTATGTTATGCTTGTTGAAGAGAATAACTTGTTTTAAGTATTAATGTGGCTGAGAATGGCCAAATATCTTTATTGCTTTTTAACAAAAAGAATCCAACCCATACTTTTATTCTATAATGGGTCTATGGGTAATAGAAAAGAATTACCTACAAATAAATGATTTAAGACAATGCAGAAATTGTTGCACTGAAGTTGTTCATGTTTCTCTCTAAATCTAAGCTTCTGTGAATATGTAACAGTAATGGACGATATGATGATGTACAGGTGTTCTGATTTCCAGATTACAGTAATGCCAGTTAGCATGAGAAGATAATTTGAAGATACTGTTTTACATTGGTTGGATGGGGTAGCAGGAGATTATCAGGTTGTGATTCCTGATATATAACATTTTATATCTCTCTCTATATATATATCTCTATCTCTATCTATCTATCTATGTTCTGGACTGCAGTCTGTTCTGTCTGGAACAGAATAATCTATCTATTTAACATTTGAGATGATAAATTGACACCATTGTTTAGCATGTTAAATATCAGGTTGTGACTCCTGATATATAACATTTTATATATAAAGAAGAAAAATTTGAAAGGCAGGACTAAAAACAACACAAATGGTACAGTCTGACTATTGAATGAATGAATGAAATTTCCTCTTTATTGAATAAGTTCAGTTTGGGGTCCACTCCCCAGTAATGAATCTGTAAATAGATGGCCATCTGGTACTTATCCCAGAGTAATGGCTTCAAAGATGTCTGATAAGAAGCATTATTGTAACCCTTCAGTCACAGGGTAGTAAATATCAAAGCTCTGGATCAGCCAAAGTGAGTGCCATAATACATTGGGATGTGAATGAGCTGTACTAGAACTGCAGATTGATTAGAAAAAGCTGTACTCTGCTTTTATGTTTGTCTTGTAACAACTTAATTGGAGGAGTGGCTAGTGGTTAATGGAAAGTTACAGGGACTTTGAGAACTAATCTGCCCTTAGGTGTGTATATTTATTTATGTACTGAAAAAATATCTAAATCGGCTTCTGTAATTTAAGAGAGATGGCAAAAAAATAAAATCTTAAACAGTTCCATTAGGAATGAGCTGTATCAGCCCTGTAGGATTCTTTGTTTTCTTTTTAAAAATTTGCTGTAGCTCCAGAATTCACCAGTTGGAGCTACAAAATATGGCAGCTTAGATATTGAGATAATCATACAGTGCTGGTCAAAAAGAATCCTCTGAAACCACAAGCTATGGCTTTTAGGAAAAACTCTATACATGCATAGATAGGGGTCTACAAATCCTCACTGTTATAAAAGAGTATCATAGTCACATGATGTGACAGTATTGTAAGTCAGCTTAATATAATTTAAACACAGTGTTAGGCTGAAAATTTTAGTTGACATAAATATCTGCACATGGGCATGTTTAGATATATATTAAATCATATTAGATTCAGGAAATATAAACTTAGTAAAGAATGAATAATATTTGTTTTGCTGTGATCTTTATTATAGAAAGCTTAGTGTGGGAATAAGCTTCTTCATAATGCAGACAGTTTTTGGCTGAGGCAGGTAGGAAAAAGAATAAACAGTTGATTATGTCGAAATTTGAATGGGCCTAAACAAATGCAGTGGTTGCATCAAATCCATTATATCCATGCAGAAACACAAAGAAAATGTAGAACCTAGTTTTCAAACTTAACATTAAGTTCATGCCATCTATAGAATTGCAGTCTGCTTATTGTATTTAAATGAGATGCAACTTGATCGTTCATATGTGCACACCCTGTCATTTTCAGTATTTGGTATAATATGATTTTCTCTGAGCCATGTATAACTTTTGAAAAAAGGGATTTATGTTGGAATAGTTCAACTGCCCTCAGAATCAGTTTCCTGTCTAACCTGGAGACCAGTGCTTCGTTCTGTTAATAAGTAAACATTTTGACAACCAAATTAATAATAGACTGTTCTGTAATTTTACTGTACTTTCTTTTTTATTCTTTGAGCTAAAAAATTAAATTTGTTTCATTTGTTTGTGACCCTGTATTTTTAATCTGCTCAATTAATGGGCCTCTCCTTTTGCTTGTTTTCAGGATTCATTGAAAACAAAGGCCAGATTTATTCACTTCAGATCATAGTTCGCTTTAAGCACAGCATTAAAATACAGTGATTGCTTAAAAAAAAGAGCATGTCTCTTACCAAGAAATATCTTTTCATTTTTCAGCCACTATTTTGATTTTGTGTTACTTATTTTGACTTGTACCTGCCTGACTCCAGTTAGATGTCTTTAAAATAAACACATATCAGTATTCAGGTTTGCTCATTTCAGAACTGTAACTTTGGAGAGAAATTTTACCCATTTTAAATTTGGGAACATGTTGTAGTTGCTCTAATAGCATTTGCTGCTCTGGAGAGTATGGTATTCCCTTACCAATAGGCAAACTGATGAAGTTGTTTTCTGCCATCCATTTTAGTTCAAGATATTTCTCTTTTCCTTTGTAAATGAGTACATTCCAGACAAAGTACTTGGCTGCAACCACCTAAAATTTCTATTTCCTAAGAATGCATGTGGAGTCCATGTGGGATTCAGAAGGAGTCTTAATAAATATGATTCTTGAGCTTGTGCTTTGCTACCCATTTTAATTTAATTTAATTTAATTTTAATTATATATGTATGTATGTATGTATGTATATGTGTATGTATGTATGTATGTTAGCAAAACCAAAAGGAAAGTCGAACACCAGGATAGAAGTATAAGCAAGGCTGTTTAATATAAACAAGACTGTTTGTTATAAAGTCACTTAGCTTTCGTCGACCAAACTGCTGACATCGTCAGAGTGAAAATGAAAGGAGATCCGGGAGTTCGTTTATGTAGCCAATTGCTTTTGCACCCTGTTTCTTGAGCGTGTCACTGGCCCATTCATTTCAATCGGCCGTAATGTATTACGTCGTCCCACTCCTGTCAACCTGTTCGAGGATTCAAAAATTGTTCTCCTGCTTGCAATTGCTCCCCTGGCACGCGTAGAGGTGCTCGGGGGATGGCTATCCGATCCCTTTTGCTCTTCGCCTCCCTCCCCCCTTGCTTTGAGCCGATCTTGGGCGTCAGTCCCCAAATTGCAATCCAGGTGCGCTGCTGATTCGCCGTCTTCCCTGGAAGTCACCATCTTACCTGTAGCCCCATCACTCCGATCCTGCAAGAGGCGGCTGTCCGATTGCTTCTGCTCTTTGTCTTCCTCCCCCCTTGCTTTGAGCCGATCCTGGGCGTCAGTCCCTAAATTGCAATCCGGGTGCGCTGCCGGTTTGCCGTCTCCTCTGGGAGTCACCGCCGCCTCACCTGTAGCCCCATTGCTCAATCCTGCAAGGGGTGACTGTCCGATTGCTTCTGCTCCTTGTCTCCCTCCCCCCTCACTATGAGCCGATCTTGCACATAAGTCTCCAAATTGCAATCTGGGCGCGGTGCCGGTTCGCCATCTTCCCTGGGAGTCGTCGCCACCTCACCTGTAGCCCCGTTACTCCGATCCTGCAAGGGGCGGACTGGTTGTCTCCTTCACTGCCCCTCCCACCCTCTAAGTATCTGGTAGGCTGGTAAGAGGTTATGTGATGATTGATCGAATTCTCAGATAGCCAGGACTCCTTAAGCAAGCGGCCACCCTTGGTGGTCTCTCGGGATATGGCCTCCGCGTTGGCAAGATCAAACACATAACCATGGCTGAAATGAATGGGCTGATTGAAGTGAGTGGGCCGGTGATGCGCTCAAGAAGCAAGGCGCAAAGCAATTGGCTACATAAGTGAACTCCTGGATCTCATCGGCAGTTTGGCCGACAAAAGCTAAGTGACTTTATAACAAACAGGTTTGTTTATATTAAACAGCCTTGCTTATACTTCTATCCTGGTGTTCGACTTTCTTTTTGGTTTTGCTAACATGCTCATACCCAGGATTCACATTTTTAATGTTATCAAAGACACACACACAGATACATATATACATACATACATACATACATACATACATACATACATACATACATACATACATACAATTTCCCTTTTAATTTTCCTCTTTTTTTCACTGAAATATATGGATCAGACTTGCATACTGATTATTTTTATTGGCATTAAGAACTCGGCATTAGTATCCAGTTATTGATTTGTTTTCATCTGACTGATTTGATTGAAAACTGTTTTATAAACAATTCATATATATAATTCCTAATTAGTTTGGTATTGCTAACATTTTAAAAATAGTTGTTTTATTTATTTAATCATTTTATGTAGTCGCCCATCTCAAGAAGTAACTGGATAGCAAACAATGTTAAAAATGCAAACAATAACAATTACAAAAGTTAAAATGCATAGTAGTAACTGAGAAAAATACAACAATCATTAACATTGCCAGGAGATGGATCCCTTCACACAGACCTAGGCCCTAGATCAGTGATGGCGAACCTTTTAGAGACCGAGTGCCCAAAAACTGCCCCCCACCCCTGTCCCTGCTCTGCCGTGCCCACTGGGCCACCCACCACCTCCACGGCCCACCACAGATCACCCAGGTAGCCCAGCAGCACCATGGCGGCCACGCCCTCCGCCTATGCCCCGCAGCATCATCTGCGCGTGATTGGGCGCAAGGGCGGAGTCTTGTCCCTGCTGCCCGGCTACCATGTCCTTGGCTGCGCTGCTTCATGTTGGCCATGCCCGGGGGCAACTCTCCTCTGGGGGGCTGCTGGTGAGGAGGGGACCGTGGGAGGAGGCGGGGCTGGGGCGACGATGCATGTGCCCATAGAGAGGGCTCCG